CGGACAGTGGGGGGGGGGTGCGGGTTTGGAATAGATATGAGCAACACATCTCGAAAAACAACAGTTACAACGGTGAGTAATCGTCTTTTCTTACCCACGAAAGCTTATGCTCCCAATACTTCTGTTAGTCTTAAAGGTGCCACAGGACTCTCTGTTATATTTACATAAGAACATAAAAACAATTTAAAACATAAGAACGTGATTGGTCCTGCTTTGAGAGGGGTTGGACTAGATGCCCTTCTAAGGTCCCTTCCAACCCTGATATTCTATGATAAGAATGGCCATACTGGGTCAGATCAAAGGTCCATCTAGCCCAACAGTGTCTTCCAACAGTGGCCAATGCCAGGTGCCCCAGAGGAAATGAACAGAACAGGCAATCATCAAATGATTCATCCCGTCTCCCATTCCCTGCTTCTGGCAAACAGAGGCTAGGGACAGAATCCCTGCCCATCCTGGCTAATAGCCATTGATGGACCTATCCTCCATGAATGTATCTAGTTTTTTTAACCCTGTTATAGTCTTGGCCTTCACAACATCCTCTTGCAAAGAATTCCACAGTTTGACTGTGTGTTGTGTGAAAAAATACTTCCGTTTGTTTTAAACCTGCTCCCTATTAATTTCATTGGGTGACCCCTAGTTCTTGCGTCATGAGGGGTAAATAACACTTCCTTATGTACTTTCACCACACCAGTCATGATTTTGTAGACCTCTACCATATCCCCCCGTAGTTGTCTCTTTTCCAAGCTGAAAAGTCACAGTCTTATTAGTCTCTCCTCATATAGAAGCTGTTCCATACCCCAATCATTTTTGTTGGCCTTTTTTGAACCTTTTCCAATTCCAATACATCTTTTCTGAGATTGGGCAACCACATCTGCACGCAGTACTCAAGATGAGTGTACGAGGAATTTATACAGAGGCAATATGATATTTTCTGTCTTATTATCTATCCCTTTCTTAATGATTCTCAACATTCTGTTTGCTTTTTTGATGGCCGATGCACACTAAGTGGATGTGAGAACTATCCACACTGACTCCAAGATCTTTCTTGAGTTGTTACAGCTAACTTAGACCCCATCATTTTATATGCATAGTTGGGATTATGTTTTCCAATGTGCATTTGCATTTATCAACATTGAATTTCATCTGCCATTTTGTAGCCCAGTCACCCAGTTTTGTATTGATTTACATGAAAATGATGCTCACACAAAACAAAAGTGAATATCTAAATCAAGAAATTACCATTCTAAGTTTTAAAAGCAGGCAAGTCAAAAACTCATGCAACTTAGTGTGATTAAAGTATTATAGTAATTTTTCCCCCCACAGCAACCAAATTTATGCTCTGAAGTCTTTTGACTTTGTGACCTAGTTCAGAGAGTAATGATACACAAAGATCATTTAGGAAGGTGGTGGTAAGTGGAATTAGCCAAAGAAAAGTTTAGACTCTGAGTCTATTCCCAAGATTACAATCAATTGTACGGAAGCACATTGGAAAAAGTACAAATGTGCAGATGATACAAAAATGAAGAAGTCTGGATAAAGAGATAATGAATCATTAAATCTGATCAAAGACGTTTTGGAGCATCATATCATAAGAAGGATATTCAGGATATGACAGAGGTGCAAAGACCAATTAAGATATGGTGCCCCTGGAGTTAGGAAAACTAGGCTTGTACTAAGAAAGAGAGATGGATAAGGGGAAACAATATGTAGGGTTATAAAAATGTCAACATTTCAGAGAAAACCTAACTGCCATAACTGTTCATACAGTAAAAAGCAACAGAGGGTCCCGTGGCACCTTCAAGACTAACAGAAGTATTGGAGCATAAGCTTTCGTGGGTGAATGCCCACTTCATCAGATGCAAGTGTGATGAAGTGTGCATTCACCCACGAAAGCTTATGCTCCAATACTTCTGTTAGTCTTGAAGGTGCCACAGGACCCTCTGTTGCTTTTTACAGATTCAGACTAACACGGCTACCCCTCTGATACTTGTTCATACAGTGTAGTTGTAGCCATGCCAGTCCCAGGTTATTTGGAGACTCAAGGTGAGTGAGGTAATATCTTTTACTGGACCAACTAAAAGATATTAGCTCACCCACCTCATGTATCTAATAATGGTTCATAACAATTAACAGGTTCAGAAAGAAATCAGCACAAAATGGAGGCTGAGCGAGAGGTCTATGCATTAAGGGAGATTAGGAGAAATATTTTAAAGGAGAGAATTTGGAATGGCTGCGAGCAACAGGAATTGCAATTGTCAATGTACTCATTTTATAAAAGGGAGTAAAATAAAAACTTACAAGGAAGTTACCCTCTAGCAATCTTTCATTCCCTGTATGTGGAAGCATCACATAGTCTAAGTTATACAACACAAACCAATGTTGATGGTTCATTCCCCACAAACTGTGGGTTAAATTTGTCCCTTCATATTCAAATATTTTAATAGAACATTGAGCTTTATTGTGAGAAAGAAATGCCACTACAATTGGGAAAAAAACAACCTCATGCTGTGACAATTCTAAAAATGAGAAATATTAAGAAAAAAAGGCAGTCATTTAACCACTTAAATTACTATCAATTTAGAACAAAAAAAGGGGGGTGGGAGGAAGTACTCACATGTGTTATCATTCAATGCTACTTCATAAGTGGTGTTTTGTGTTCTAGATTGTTTTTTTAAGTCTCCTGTTACCCCCTCTTCTTCCAACATATCCATTTCCACAGAACTGATTTTTTCATTGCCAGCCTCATCAGTATCTTGTTCTTTCCTAATTTTTAAGTTTAAGAAAAAAAATAGGAAACCAAAATCTGTCACTGCTTAATATTGCTTAGATGTTATTAAAGAACTTCAGCTGAAATCCTATTTTACACCATTCAAACACAAAAAAAAAATCACAAATGAAAAGCCTTATACACTGTTCTTCCCGTCCCCACAACCCCACGCCATTGTATTAATGCAGCTGCACTGATTCAAACCCCTAGTGTTAATAAACTACACCAGAAGCCAAGCCAGTGCAAGTCCTCCTGCATTAGTGCAATGGGTATACGTGGCGCACCACTGCAACTAAATCAGTGTAGCTGCACTGGTTTCTCTTTCACTTACACTCTTGCGCACGCGCACACATACAGAGTAGACAAAGCCTGCTAAACTTTATTTTCCATCTAACACATTGGTTACTAAGAATTTACTTAGAACTTAGTCTAAATACACATCTACTGAACCTCACTTGTATTATTACGTATTTTTAAAAAACAAATATTTACTCTACACTATTAAATTAGCACTGAGCAAAATAAAGGCCTACCAAAAGTTACCTCTTTAGTTCCTCAAGAAAATTCTCAACATATTGTTTCCATTGTTCTGGAAATCCAAATGTAAACTTCTTGATGAATTTGTATGGAAATCCTGTTTGAAACAAAGGAGAGTGTTAATAATGGCTAAAATTTTAACAGCATACTGTTTTAAAATTTTAACAGCGTACTGCGTTTTCCCCCCTTTCACAGTAAGAAAGAAGGATATTTGAATACTGAATTTGGTTCACTGATAGCAGTACATAAGTTGTAGTACATTACATGTGACTGTAGAACCTCAAAGATACAAACACCAGAGTTATGGACTTTCCAGTCAACCGGACATCTGTAAAACCGCAAGTCCTCAATCAGGCAGCAGCACAGAACAAAAAACAAAACAAAACATTCCCCGCAAATACTGTATTGCCTTGGGGCTTTATTCACTGGGAGGTTGGGGCTGCAGCCTTGTGGAGGGGAAGGGGTTCAGGGCTCTGGGTGGACTTGGGGCTTCTGACCCTCAGAAGCACCCAGGCTCGAGGCTTCAACCCTGCAGCTCTGTTCCCAGCTTCAGCCCCACAGAGGGTGCTGGGGCTTTAGCTACGAGGGAAGCGATGGTTTCAGCCCCAGCGCTCGCACTGTAGCTAAAGCCCCGATCCCTGGCACATATCCCCAGAGCCCTGGTGCCCCCTTTCCCCACCCTGCAGCTGCAACCCCCAATGCTCCCCCACTGCCCAGAGCCCTGGCAGCCCCGCCCCACTCCGGCTGCAGCCGCGAGCTTCCCCCCGCAACCCCCACTGTGGAGACCTTGCACTCCCATTTCAGAGTTACAGACAATCTCCATTCCCAAGGTGTCCGTAACTTTGAGGTTCTACTGTATATAGAAAAAAGAACTGTAGTCAATTCCCACACCCTCACGAAACAGAAATAGACATATAGTCAATTATTTCAGTGCCTTTTAATTAATTCACCGAAGGGCAAACTGCTAGGCTGAATGCTGAAAATACTGCCATAAGAATGGGTGTAAGTCAATTTAATTTAAAGCTACTCTGCATGCAGCTGGCTGCACTCTGGATGTAGTGTTTGGAAATGGGTTGGAGGTTCGGGACGTCATCACTGCATCCATGACATAGGATAACCATTACCCTTTTGCAGTTGTCCATGACTGTTTATGCAGTGACTAGAAAATGCTGTCTTCCCTCGAGTCACCCTAACAGGTCATTTAGTGTACAGAAGACTTATGCTGGATGAAGTGAGCGGAAGAATGACTAGAGCACTGGGGCAGAGATCCCCACCTGAGTTCAATCAACTGGAATATAAAGACATTTAAAGACAATTGTTGGGGCTCTTTCATAGCATTTGCATAGCAATATATAGCTGAACCATTTCGGATAGTGTGGCTAATCTGACCTGTCTCCATTTGGACATGGAATAGAGCGTCTCTCACTGCACTTCCAAAGAGTGTCAGATTTTTAAGGCCAGAAGGGGCCATTAGATCTCCTAGTATGGCCTGCTATATATATCACAGGCCAAAGAATTTCACCCAGTTACCCCTTTATGGAGCCCGATAACTTCTGTCTGACTGAAGCTTATCTTCCAAAAAGGAATCCAGTCTTGATTTGAAGACATCATTATGGTCAATTCCACTGATGCTCTAGAAGTTACTGGTTTGAATTGGGGTTAGCTGGCTGAGGTTGAACGTGGACAAGGCAGAGATTACACCGTTGGGTAGGAGTAGCATTAGCTAAAATGATGTATGCTCCACTAATTGAAAGTGTGTGGCCACTATTTGTGAATCAGGTTTACAATTCAGGGAGTTTATTAGGCCATGGCTGCTATTAGATTCTCAGGAAGAATCTGTAGATCAAAGAGTGCATTTTCCCCATCTGTACTCAGTGAGGGAAACTTTATATAATATATAAAAAAACTTTTATATATATATATAAAAATAAATAAAGGATTTGGACCTTTTCATGCTTATCTGAGCCTTTGTCACCTCTGTAATATTCTCTGCTTGGGGCCTCAAGAACATTCTGAGAAGCTGAAGCTAGTACAGAATATGGCAACTTGCTTATTAAGTGGAGCTTTATTCTACTGAAGCACACTGCAGTTGTGTGCTTCTGAGTGGAATTCAAAGTGCTGGCATAGACTTTTAAAGCTCTAAATGGTTTAGGTCTAGGTTGCCTAACAGGCGATGTTTCTCCCCAGCCATACTGCCATCTTGATATAAGAAGGGGTTTCTGGCAAGACACTCACAATGAGGTGTCTAACTTCAGAATTCACTCCTCACCCAAGCCTGCCACAGCCCACATTTCTTAGCCTCCTGGACATGGTGAAAAACTCATTCATCCTCAAAAGATAGAATGCAGGTATTTAAATGATGGAGCTGAATCGGATTAGGATTGGATAGGCAGAGGACTGGATTTAACCTGCTTAAATGTTATTTTCTTCCCACCCATGGGCTATTATCAATTTTAAGTCTTGTAAGTAGTCCTAGAACTCAGAACAGGTATCTGTATTATCTCAGATTTATAAATCAAAATAAGTTACAGATACAGACAGTATATTCTCTCTCAGCTGCTTGGCTAGCTGGTTCTTGCTCCCATGCTCAGGATCTAACTGATCACCATATCTGGGGTCAGGAACGAATTTCCCCCCAGGTCAGATTGGCAGTAACCTTGGGGGGTTTCGCATCCTCTACACCATATGGGTGCAGGTCACTTGCCAGAATTATCTGGGACTCTTTCATTTAATCATTCCCCTGCCTTTGCAGGGATCTTGATCACTGGTGCACCTGGGTCTAGTCTCCTGTTGGTCTCATTTACTTTGGTCTCATTTCCATTGCTGGGTGGTTTTGGCAACCTGTGATATATAGCTCAGACTAAATGATCAGACTAGATAATCTAGAAATTCCTTCTGGTCTTAAACTGAAGGACTATGTGTATTTGCCGCAAATGAGCTGGGATTCTATCATAGATACTGCCTCTCATCCCTGCGATATTTTGGCAGCTGTGATCATCAGAGGCACTTGGACTAATAATTTTCTGGTATAACTGACAGAGGGCTGGCAGCAGGATGTTTTGGGAGTTCACTTCACACTTGGTTAACCCAAGCCTGGATCTGATGACTTTTAGGACATGCTGTAAGATTAACCTATTGTCCCAGACGTACGTACGTGCGCGTGTGTGTGTGTGTACATATTTTAAGAAGGGTTGAGTGAGGATTTTGAGAGGGAGGGGGACTATAAGATAGGACATCATGGCTGGTTGGAAAGGTTTGCTGGAGAGTCATTACCCATTCATTTTGAAAGAATGGGTATCACTCTCAGAGAAAAAGAAAACATTTTAAGTTATTTAACTTGTGTATGCTGTGAATGAATTTCCTTAAAAATCCCATGTTCGGGGGGGAAAAAAAGAATCTGAAAAGGAAAATTCTATGCAATTGATCATATTCCCACTGATATGAAAGATAAACATTTACTAAATCAAACTATAAAGGTACTTTCGTGAAAGTTATTGGGTCTACTATAGGACGGTTTTCAAAGTAATGTTTCATGTTATGTTACTAATCTAGTAATTAATCATTTAAAGATGAACTGCAAATAATGTAGTTTTCATATTTTATCTTCAACAATATGCATACAATTCTTTTATGATTAAGGCCCTATGATCCATTTAACACACAAAACCTCAAAAAAAACCCCAACACACTTCCAAATTATAAAAAGGGAAATTTTGCAAAATCAGGCAATTTAAACAAAAAAATCTGTCTGACATACCTATTGGCTAGTTCCATGCTCCAAGCTGGGTTTCCTAGTGGCTGCAATATCACAATGGAGCAGATGCCAGCAGGAATGAACAGCAAAGGATTTAAAAAGCTGAGGACAGAAGTCAGTTTTACAGTATGTGCTGAATATCCCACTGAGTCCAACTGGCAGGGATATGCAGCATATATTGCTGAAGTTAATGTAATCAATTTATTTGCTGATTACCTTTAACCTTGCCTTTGTTTGTATTTTACAGAAGAACTGTCACTCTGCCTTTATTTCTCTCACACACTCCAGACATTTTAAATTTCAAATGAGTTTCCTTACCTTCTTGTCTCATGGAAACAGAGTTTACATTTCCTTGTAACACGTAGATGCTGCCAGATATTGTTTTAACTTGGTTGGATGCCATGCGTTCCACAACTGCATTACTATGCCAGCACAGTTCTTTCATATCTCTGAAGAGACAGAATAAATAGAAATAAGTTCATTTTTGTTAGGGAAAATGATTAACAATGGGGTTTCAAGTTTCAACAATGAGAATACCAAGATTCTGTATCAGACTGGTGTTTAAATATTTTCATTAATGATCTGGAAAAGGGAATGAACAGAGAAGTATCAAGATCATCAGTGATACAAACTTATGGCCCAATCCAACTCTCACTGAAGTCAACAGAAGCCTTTCCATTGACTTGAATGGGTACTGGATTCAGGCCCTTATTTAGCACAGTCAAGATTTTGAAAGACTGAGGAACTCCAGAGGGATCTAACAAAGTTAAGCGAATTAGGAGTGCAACAGAAGAAGAAATGTAATACTGACAAATGCAAAGTGATAAACAGGGGAATGAATAAGGTAAGCTACTCAAATACATTATTGTTCTAAATTAACTGTAACCACTCAGGAAAAGAAGAATTCAAATGCCATTCTGAACAGTTCAGTGAAAACAGCTGCTCTGTTCACAAAAAAAGCAAACCAACTACAACAACGTATAAAGAATGGAGTTTGAAAATACTGTAAATCTATGCCAAGATTTAAGTTAATGGTATGCCCTCCCATGGAATACTGTACTTGGTCCTGGTCACCACATTTCAAAAAGTTACAGCAGACTAAAAAGGGTCTCAAGACAGGAAACAAAGTGAGTAGAAACACTGAAATTCTTTTGTATAAGAAGAAATTCAAAAAATTAGGACAGGTGACATTGTACCAACGGGTACAGAGAAGTTAAATAAGGTGCTCTTATTTACCCTCTCAGAATTCAACAATAAGGCAACATACAATGAAATTACAAGGCATCATATTTCAGACTGAAAAACCTTTCGTAAGTTGCCTGAGATGGTTAAAAAAAAATTCACAATCTGTGGAATTCACTGCTACAAGATATCACTGAACACAAGAGCACAGTTAACAGGAGTAAAAAATGAATTATGTGTTTACCTGTTATGGATAATGAGGACATCCACAGTTATGTAAGACAGGATAAAAGATAAGGAACATAAACCCTCACACATAGAACCAGATCCTGGATAGGTTGTAGGTATTAAGGACACAGGAGAGGGCTGCTGGTTATTGTTTTCATAGTCACTCCTGAATCAAGATATTGATGCAAAGTCAAGCTGGAAGAGCATATCAAGTGGGGTCCTGCATGGATCAGTTCAGGGTCCAGTTCTGCTCAATATCTTCATCAATGATTTAGTTAAAGGCAAAGAGAGTACACTTATAAAGTTCGCAGACCATACCAAGCTGGGAGGGGTTGCAAGTGCTTTGGAGAATAGGATTAAAATTCAAAATGATCTGGAAAAACTGGAGAAATGGTCTGAAGTAAATAGGATGAAATTCAATAAGGACAAATGCAAAGTACTCCACTTAGGAAGGAGTAATCAGTTGCACACATACAAAATGGGAAGGAGTACTGCGGAAAGGGATCTGGGGGTCATAGTGGATCACAAGCTAAATGAGTCAACAGTGTAACACTGTTGCAAAACAAGCAAACGTCATCCTGGGACGTATTACCAGGAGTGTTGTAAGCAAGATACAAGGAGTAATTCTTTCTGCTCTACTCCACGCTGATATGGCCTCAACTGGAGCATTGTGTGCAGTTCTGGGCGCCACATTCAGGAAAGATGTGGACAAATTGGAGAAAGTCCAGAGCAACAAAAATGACTAGAGGTCTAGAAAACATGACAATGAGGGAAGATTGAAAAAAAAAAGGGGGGGGGGGTTGTTTAGTCTGGAGAAGAGAAGACAGAGGGGACATAATTTTCAAGTACAGAATAAGTTGTGACAAGGAGAAAATTCTTCTCAACCTCTGAGGATAGGACAAGAAGCAATGGGTTTAAATTGCAGCAAGGGAGGTTTAGGTTGGACATTAGGAAAAACTTCCAAACTGTCAGGGTAGTTAAGCACTAGAATAAATTGCCTAGAGAGGTTGTGGAATCTCCATCACTGTCTAATCTACTTTAAAAAAAAAACTCCAAACACATGTCAGGGATGGTCTAGATCAGAGGTGGGCAAACTACAGGCCGGGGGCCACATCCGGCCCTGCAGACATTTTAATCCAACCCTCGAGCTCCCTCCAGGGAGCGGGGTCTGGGGCTTGCCCTACTCCGGCACTCCAGCCAGGGAGCAGGGTCAGGGGCTTGCCCCACTCCGCACAGCTCTCAGAAGTAGCAGCATGTCCCCCCTCCAGCTCCTATGCATAGGGGCAGCCAGGGGGCTCCACACACTGCCCCTACTCCAAGCGCTGCCCTTGCAGCTCCCATTGGCCAGGAACCACGGCAAATGGGAACTGCGGGACGACGCCTGCAGACAGGGCAGCACAAAAGAGCCACCTGGCCACGCCTCCGCGTAGGAGCCGGGGGGGACATGCTACTGCTTCTTGGAGCTGCTTGAGGTAAGCGCCGCCCAGAGCCTGCACGCCTGACCCACGCCCCAACCCCCTGCCTCAGCCCAGATCCCCCTCCCACCTGACCCAGCCCTGATCCCCCTCCCACCTGCGGAACCCCTCAGTCACAACCCGGAGCACCCTCCTGCACTCCCAACCCCTCATCCGCAGCCTCACCCCAGAGCCAGCACCCCCAGTCCTCACCCCAACCCCCAATTTTGTGAGCATTCATGGCCTGCCATACAATTTCCATACCCAGATGTGGCCCTTGGACCAAAAAGTTTGCCCACCCCGGTCTAGATAATACTTAGTCCTGCCTTGAGTGCAGGGGACTGGACTAGACCTCTTGAGGACCCTTCCAGTCTTACGATTCTATGACAGACTGGATAGCTAGTCCTTGAGATCTCTAAGTTATGTTGCTGAAGTGCTCTCTTCCCTCAACACAGCAGAACAGGAGAGTGTACTTGGTATTTGCTGAATGAAGCTCTAGGCTACCTTCTCACCAGCTGTGCACGTGGCTTTCTTAGACTTAAGAACACTGGATCCACCCCCCAAACTCTCTCTGGTAAGTGGAGGGAGGCACAAGTTGGTGGGGAGCCATTGTCAGCAGAAGTGGCAGCCCTATGTAATGGGGTTAAACTGAGACAGACTAGTCTTTGGTGCACGTGATCCTTTCCAGATCCACTCAGTAGTGGAGATGCCAGGATGATGCATATTTGTGAAATTGAGATACAGAAATGAGAATAAAAAACTATGTTTTATGCCACAGAAATGTGCAACTTTGATGAAGGAACAAAACATCACTTACCTCCGTTTTCCTTCTACACACACAGCAGTATTGTTGTTGATAACCTTAATCCTCCACTCACTCAGGCAGATTTTTGACTAAGTTAAAGAAAAACAGCATACATTATAGGTACACTTAATATGCCAATTATACAGCCATTAAAATAAGAAGCAAACTAAATATCCTTTAACCAGTAACATTTAAGAAAATAAATGCTTTATAATGTTTGTTTAAAACCAAGAATTCCTACATATATTAACAGTGAATTGACAATCTGAATACTCTCAGGAGATGAAAAAGTGACCAAATAACACATTAATTTGCTATTTCCAGTGTGGGTAGAGGTAAAGTTGAAAACAGATGCCTCAAAATATTAAACAACTAAAAAATATGAACACATTTGACAGTAATTTAAAAATGAAAGTTAAAAAACCAAAATATTTAAAAAAGTTAGGGGAGTTAGATTCCAAAACTTCTAGACAGTTAAAACCTGGAAACTCTTAAAGGTTCCAACACCAACTCTTCCCTCACACCTTTAATCCCTTATTGTTTGAAGAAATCCAATAATTGACACATCGAAGAAAGAGTTAAAGTGATTCCAGTTGTATTTACTGATTATATTATAGTAAAAATGCACAGCACAGTGAGTATCAGTAAATTCTCAGTGCATGCCTCAGGTGCAGACAATGAACCTAACAGCCTACTAAAGGCAGATCTTCAAGGGCCTTATTGCTTTTGGAAACTGGCTAGTAATTTTATATTGAACATCACACATACACGTGTGCACACAGGATTTGGAGAGTTTTATGAAATGTATCATTCCATTATGAAAACTGTATTTATTAAAAATTCCTCTAACACGTAAATTAATTAACTACATCCCTTTTCTTTATTATTTCTTTTCCTCCCTGCCTGATGTAATGGATTTAGGGTTTTTTGCCTTTTGAAATGTTAGACTTTGACCGTAATCCTAGAATTTGATGCACTAATGCAGACCTCTGGGCTCAGAGTCCCACACAGGATTGATTCCTTTGGCTGCAAAAGCAGTAAAAAAGTATAGTGATGTCTGCCCCAGATCCCTTGCCTGTAGTGTCTATCTCCCATCTCTCCCTTTCAAGGTTTTTCTCTACATCCAATCAGAATGTTCTACTGTTTAATATTAAATAGATATTAAAATAACGAAAGCTGGGAATAAATACCAATTTGGGGTTTAGAGTTTTGTTTAATAAAAAAAAGTGTAAAGTGTTATTTCTGTTTCTTTCTACCACCATTTTTAAGCATAAACAAGTTTGATCAACCAAACAGGATAGCTCAGTGGCTTGAGCATTGGCCTGCTGAACCCAGGATTGAGTTCAATCCTTGAGGGGGCCATTTAGGGATCTGGGACAAAAATCAGTCTGAGGATTAGTCCTACTTTGAGCAGGGGGTTGGACTAGATGACCTCCTGAGGTCCCTTCCAACTCTGATATTCTATGAAGTCTCTGATCAAGTAGTTACAGGATTGACAGCCTGCAAATTTTCTAAAGGACACACATGAAGCTTATGAATTCCACAGGATAGATACGTATTTATACTTATTTATTGCTATATATGACAAAAAAACTAAACAAATACCACTAGTTGTAGCAAATCCGAAGGAATTTTTCAATACAAAATCCTTCCACAAAGGAACAAACTTTCCCACCTGTTTATTTGCATTGCCATCATTTTTATCTATGTGAGATGTGCTTGAGGAGGCCTTACAATCTCCTTCTTTTGTTTTTCGTTTTCTTGGTATGTGGACCTTTGGAGAAGAAAACATAATACTACAGAAGCACTGTGTGGGCCTCTGAGTGTCAGTCTCCGATTTCTTCTCTACTCCTTGAGCTGTTTTCCAGGTGCTATCTTGTAATAGTCTTCCTTCTCGATGAGGACTGGCATATACTGTTTCTCCACTTCCATACCTTTCTGCTAACTGAGCCCCAGTTTTGGAAGGGTCGGAATTTGCGTTCACAGTATCAATCACAGTATTTTGAGACATTTCATCATCAGCATCAATTGGCTCCACAAGAAAAACATCATCCTGACTGTTGCTGGTATTGTTAACTGTACATTCTCCATTAAAGTTACTGACTTGTTTGGCAAAATCAGATTTGATTAAGGGCTTGTTCACAATTGTCGAAGAAATACTTTGCTTGATTTGGTTTGACAATGCAGGATCTGCTCAATTAAAAAAAAAAAAAAATTCAGGCAAAGCAACTCATGTTATTTCAAGAAAAGCAAACCTGCATTCATAAAACCAGAAATCTGATTCTATTACAATGAATCTTGAGTAGAAACTACAGCTCCCCCGCCCCGCCTCCAATCAGCTGGCACAAAGATTTCCACAAACCCCAAGCCAGCAACTCAGCTGCTACTACTAGGTGCAAGCAGTCTTTCAATGTCAGACATTGCATGGTGGAGTTGGCCCATGCAAGAGCTGCAAGTAAGACTTCTGGTGCTAAAGGCCACTTCAACCATCCTCACCTGCTGTCCTTACCAAACTGCTCCTAAACTGGTAGTGATAAAGTGATGAACACAGAAGTCTGAAATTTGTATGCAGAAGTATAGAGAGGCTCCAAGAACTTTTCTATCTGCCCACATAGACCTGATGTGTGGCTCAAAAACTTGTCTCTCTCACCAACAGATGCTGGTCCTATAAGAGAGATTACCTCACCCATTTGCCCACACATATGCAGAATTTGGAGAGACAACAAAGATGGGAATTTACATAGTACTGTTAGTAGGGAGAAGTTTATATAGTAGGGAGAAGATAATACCAAGATAATAGGAGATAATACCAAGCTCCAGAATTGGGATCAGATGTCATGAGAAGTAATTTTTATAAAAAGAAACAAGATAAATGATACACCCACCCATCTCAAAATGAAGGATTGGTACAAATATAGACAAAATGTCCAGTGCAGGCGTTCTCAACCTTTTTCTTTAGAGCCCCCCAGCCAAAATAATTCCACGGCCCGCCTGTTTTCTGCGTATCCAGTAGATTAAAAATTGGGGACAGCATTAGGGGGTTCCAAGCAGAGCAACTGCCTAGGGCCCCACAATATTAAGTTGCTCGTCTTCAGCTTGAGCCCTGGGTGGTGGGGCAATGATGGGGAAGGGAAGAGAAGATACTGTAACTACAGCACACACTCGCTACAATGCCCTTGATAATAATGAACCCAGTCCCTGGATCCCACCTCCAGGCACCGGCGTCGGAAGCAGGTGCTTGGGGCGGTCAATGGAAAGGGGCGGCACGTCCGGGTCTTCAGCGGCAAGTCCCTCAGTCCCTCTTGGAGGGAAGGACCGGCCGCCGAATTGCCGCCGAGGAATGAAGCGGTGCGGTAGAGCTGCCGCCGATTGCGGCTTAATCTTTTTTTTTTCTTCGCCGCTTGGGGCAGCAAAAAAGCTGGAGCCGGCCCTGCCCACCTCGATTCCCATGGCTGCCCGCTCCTCTAGCCTCTGCAGCTATTGCAGTCAGCTGCCTTCCCTCCCCCTGCCGCAGGACTCTTTCGCTAAAAAGAACAAATGGTTTCATCCCGATGGGTTTGTTATGGCAAGGGTGTATTGTATCTAAAATACCCACTAACGTAGAAACATAAGAAACCAGTCACTGTTTTAAGAACCACAACCAGCACTGCCAAGAAAAGTACCTTTTTGCTGCTTCTGCACTTTCTGTTTTATGCGCAAGAAGAACTTTTGAGGAGATTCTGAAACCAGAGTGTCCACAGCGAGGGAATCCACATTTTTGTTTCGCACTATCTTGGTGCAATGCAGTGCTAAAAGAAAAATGTTCTCTTAAATTCAGGGAGTGAATAACAGCGTAACAGAAATTGTTAGTAATTCATTTAAAAATTAGTAGACTAAATATACATTTCATAGAACATTAGCTTCACAAATGAAAAAATAAAGAATTCTCTTATTTCTTGTATTTCAAACTTAAAAAAAAAACCACACACGTACACACCAGGATTTATATTATCCATTTGTTCTAAGTGTGAAACTGTTCGATTAAAAAGTTTTTTTTTTTGTTTTTTTTTAATAAAGGTCATGCCCCACTTCCCAACAGACCCGATTTGGCTCACTCCTAATATTACCTCTACTTGCCAATATCAGAGTTGTCTTTTGGAGTAGGAAACGGCAGTGCTACTTATCTATGGCTAGGAACAGGCACAGTCTGATGAGATACAGTTTCTCTCTTTTCTTGTTTTTACCTCCCGTCTTCTTCCTCTTTTGTCTTAGATCTCTTCTCTACATGAGCAGTTCAGCTTTTAAAAATCTTTTAAAAGTACCAGCGTGAAATCCTGACCCACTGATGTCAATGGGAGCTTTGTTATTGACTTCAGTGGGATCAGGCTTTCACCCCTAATAAGTAGTGCTGTTACTAACCCCCAATGGAACAGCAGATTCCAGCTAACAACCAAAACTGTTATTACTTTAGTTTCAAAAAAATTCCACACCCTTAAAACAAACAAAAAACCCCAAAACATTAAGATGTCTGCAAATGAACATTTAAGGGAGCCAGCCAGTTCCTCTCACTCCTTTGTCACTGTGTACAAATGGGAAACTTCTGTACAGGCAAATTCAGTCATTTAAGTTTTCTATGCTTTTTTCCTTCTGAGGCTAGAGCTCGCCCATGGACTTAATTACTCCAGCCCCAGCGAGCAATGGTAGCAACATCCCTGGGAGAAGCTCTCTCGCCAACAGAACTTAGGCCAATGTAGCTTACATCACTCAGAGGGGTGGCTTATTCACACCCCTGCGTGATGCAACTTATACCGAGTTAAGCTGTAGCCTGTACACAGCCTGAATACATACATAAAAAGGCTCAAAACTACTAGAACATTTTATGACAATAGTGGTCTCATATTGTTCATAACACATTAAGATACTACAAACCACGTCATTCCCCCTAAGATATCATAGCACAGGGACACTGTGGGTATGTGAAGTACCCTCCACAGCAGCATACTCCCAGTTCTAAAATCCTACAAATCATAGCACACCTGATGGAATAGAAATCCATGACTGTGTGTACTGGTTGCTCCCTGAAGCTTGATCCATCCCTCCATTCAGACACACAATCACTATATTACAGTGATACGGATCAGCCAGATACCACCATCATCCTTGCATTTTACTGGAGATGTAATATAACCAGGCATCTTGGAAATATTATGCAACAAACCTTTCCCTGGCTGGATCTGTCTATCAGGTACCTTGCCAGCTCTTTGCTGGTTTTCTTCATCACTGGATTTTTTATCCTGTGTTCCCTGATGGACAAGTTTCATAGCAGGAGTCAGGATCAAATCGCTGTTGTAATTTGTCCCTAACAATGCTCCCTTAGATGGCATTTGATGCTGCTTTTCATGGGATGCCTTGGCTTTCATTCTTTGGAAGATTTTTGCTGGAGATTCATGAGTTAAAGGATCACAAGCTTTGCGTTTCAATAAATTTTTGTCTTTTAGTGGCAAGATCTGTTGCTGCTGGCAAGATGCAGCTTGTACTGCTACAATGTCAGAATCTGGCCTTATTTCACTGAGGTCAAGAAATTCTTTAACATAAGTGCCGTCTGTTATTAATGTGGACTGAAAAATACCTTCCCTTTTCTTGGAAGTTCCTGCCTCTCGTGCATGGTTTTCCTTGACGTCACGTAAAACTGAAGGGAGCACAGCTTCTTTTGTTGCAGAAGTAGTCAGACCAGCATCTTGAAATTTCACCAAATCTTTTAAAGGAGTAATAGTACCTGACGGTATGTTGCTCATTAAGATTGCCTGCAAAGGCATATCTCCTCTTCTGCTAGAAGAAATGTGAGATTTTGAAATCCTTGTATTTTTTAAAGGTGTAGCAATCATCTTGCCAATGTTGACAACTATGTGTTGTGCTCCTACTGCAAAGTCATTAAAACGTGCATGTTTAGGTATAGTTTTTTAAATAAAAGAAGGAAGAACATGAATTCCATGGATTGTCGACTTTATTTCTTCAAATGTCCGCTAGAAAGAGAAACGGGGTGAAAAGAAGTTGGTCTTTACATTTTCATTGTTAGTGCCACATTTTAAAGTAAACTTCTGTGGTACATCAATCAAGTTGAAGTGCTAGGTACAGGCTGGCAGCCTGCTTGTTTCACAGCCAATTGTTTAGTTTCAGAAAAGGGACACACAACCATAGCACTCGCAGTACAGGGGAGTGCAGCAAGTGTATTTTCATGGATTGCTCGGTTTACTAGAGTCTCCAAGAGCGTCGTCCTAGACCCTGGACGTCAATAGGAGACTTCCCAGCTGATTTCAAGGGGGAGAGGATCAAGCCCCTTGGCTGTTTTCTGAAAAGACAAGGCTGCAGCCTCTCCCCGGCGTCAGGAAACTGATGGGCAAAGATCAGCTTTGGGCTTAGGAGTCCCCCACCCCCATAGTCAATCTCCAGGGCATCTGTGCAACGAGAGCTGGGGTTTCATGGGCGACCCCAGAGCTCGTGTGCAGCGCCGAGCACAGGCCACGAGAGACACAAAGCCCGGGAGGGAACAGCCGCCGCTGCTGACAGCTGGTGCCTCCCACCAGCTCCAGGCGCCCGGTACAAGCGGCCACCCACCGCGGCTCTCCCCTAGCCCAGACAGCAGCGCGGGTCTAGCCCTGGGCGGGCCACGCCGGCTGGGTCCGCGCTCAGCCCTGTCACCCCGCCACCCACCCGTCCCCCACGCGCCCGGCCCGCCACACTCACCCCGCCGCCTCGCTCGCTCGCGCCGCCACCGCCGCTTCGCTCTCCCCTGCGCCGCGCGCGCGCGGCCGTTACAAGTTTTGAGTCCCGCCGCGCGCACGCTGATTGGCAGGGAGGGGAGTGACGTCGGCGGAGGCGGGGCTGCGGCCGTGAGAGAAGAGGGCCGAGACGCCGGCCGGCCGGCACGCAGGGCGTGGGTCGCTCGCAGTGACGTAAGGCGCGTTGGGCGGGAAACGGGTGGCGCGGTGGGCGGGTAGCTGGGTCTAGCCTGTCAGCCGCGGGCGCTGATGACCCCGACGCTGAGAGGGAGGGAACGCGCCTTCCCCCCCCCTTTATCATTTACAAACCAAAGTGAGCGGCGCTGCCCGGGCCCGGCTGGGGGCGGTCACCGCTGGCTGCTGGGGTCCCAGCGCTGCAGGAGTGGGGCGGGGCTGGCTGCTCGCTGTGGGGAGAACAGGGGCCAGCCCCGCCCCGCCCCCTCTCGTGTTTGTTTCCTTTTCAGCGTTTGGCTTGTGGACGCTCAGTGGCAGTTTGGCGCAATACCTGGCTAAGAAAAGGGACTCTGGCTCCCTCTCAAAGACTTGATGCACCTGAGCCACTTGGCCTCCCCTGAGTAAAGTTACAGCCAGGTGTTGCGTATTACCAAGAGGGGCATCTCTGCTTTGCTCTTTACAGTTCCTAGGAGTTTTGAAAGAAATGTTCTTGCTCAGTTTGATTTGCATTTTGTCAAGAAAGGCAAAGTTCTCCTCCTTCAATTTATGAAATATTTCCCCTCTGAGTGGGTTATTTATCTCACTGATACTTCAGCGTAAGATTTTATATCCATCAGGTGATGAGGCAGCCCTTTTGCTGCTAATGACTTCAGTAGGTTTGTCGGTATTGTTAGTGCGGGGGGGATAGCTCAGTGGTTTGAGCATTGGCCTGCTTAAACCCAGTGTTGTGAGTTCAATCCTTGAGGGGGCCACTTAGGGCTCTGGGGCAAAATCAGTACTTGGTCCTGCTAGTGAAGGCAGGGGGCTGGACTTGATGACCTTTCAGGGTCCCTTCCAGTTCTATGAGATAGATGTATCTATATCTATATTATTTTTTATTTATTATTCCAAATAGTTCTACCACCATGTTACAAAAGGACAAAGACAAGTGAATGGTGACACCAACAAAGCTTTTTTCCAAATGTGCTAGCTCACTGAGATAACAAGAAAATTAAAAGGGAGTGAAATCAGGAGATAGCCAAGGCATCTACTGGAGCAGACCTCATGGATTTAGATTGGCTCCACTAGTTGAGCTTTAAAATTCAGAGTTGCAGGAAAAAGGCCATGTAACTAGTCAACAATGTAACTGACTGGATAATTACACTAGTTAGGCACAGTGCACATATATACAATCTAAATCAAGGAAAAGGAAAATACACAATTACCAGCACTCAGAGTCCAAGCTTGGTCTCTTCAGAGAGGAAACTGGTGACAGCTTGTTGAGTTTTTCAGGAGAACTTCCAGTTTGATGGAAAATCTTTCACAAGCTCAAGGCATCTGGGCAGGAGTGGCTGTCTGGACCCCATTCTTTGCTAAGACTATCAGATATGGATTTCCTAAGTGTCTGTGCTGCTTCTCCTCTCCTCCTCTAATCTGTAGAGAGAGAGCAACCTGTGTGAGTAGTGAGAGGCTATTGTGTGGGCAGGGGGATGAGAGGCAACATGCAATATGTGCATGTGGTGAAGGAGAGAGGATTGGTTGTGAAAAACTGAAAGGGAGGTGCTCACCAGTCCCATGCACTGTTTTCTTCAGCAAGCTGATAACTTTGCATTATGCTATTGGTTTCACCTACCTGTGCTGCTAACCGTGTGTCAATCACTTAAACTGGGAACATCTGGTAAGGTAATTTAAAAGAAACCCAAATTAGCTGGTAAAATTAAAAGGGAGATAGAATTAGAGACAGAGAGAAAACACCAGAGGAAGTTGGTAAAAAATCAAAACAGGAGCTGCAAGGGAAGGGGCACTTTTATATTTTGTCTGGTTGTTTAGATCGTAATTGTGGCCTAGGTATAATAACAGATCTTGGGGCTGTAGCGGGGCAATAGAAATAAAGTATATTGGCTGTATCTAGCATCCAGTCTTTTACATACTATTTTGCCTTGGGAAATCTCCTAAAACGTAATATATCATTGCCCATTTTATCTCATCTGCACTAGATTATCTATAATATCAAGGAAGAATGCCAGTTCCTTGCACTCTTGAAATAAGGTACCATGAGGAGGGCTTGGGCTAGGCTGGGGGGAGCCTTTTAATATTAAGAGAAACTCAGTGCGTCTCATTCAACCAGAATAGATTATTATTTGAAATTAAAAAAAATTACATGTCCTGAGGATTTGCATTCTGATTCCTACAGAGATTTATAGCAACTGTGAAGAACCTTGGAAATCGGTCATTAATTGTTACGCTCCCTTTTGGAGCTATTTTCTTGGCAGTGGTGTAATTAGATTTGTCCTTTCTACATATCTACCTAGTTAACCACTTTATAATCTATTGTCATTACCATGTTTATTTGCTCCATTTTTATAAAAAGTGCATGCTGTTGCTTCAGAAGCAGTACTAGTTTTTATTATGCTCTGCAATACTCTTTTTGACTTTGAGATCTCATTTCAGGTACATTTAGATCTCTGAATAAATCTGATCCTTCTTTTGCCTTTGGGGAAGAAGTCAAATTTTGTTTATAATTATTTAATGACCCATACTTTGGCTTTAAAACTTCAGAAATGCCATTAAATCCACTTAAATCTTTAATTTCCTCTTTGATTCATGCTGCAAATTAATTAGATACATTAAGTCCCTAATCTCTCCTTGTTTTTTGTCTTCCCATTTCTTCCTTGGCAGGGTCTGTATTTTATTTGTTGCAGTTGAATGAATCTTGGCTGTTGGCTGTAGGACTTCTGGCTTTGTTTTCAGAAACTGGAAGGTCTGCCATGAATGAAGCAGAGGGCTACAGGAAGAGAAAAGACGATCTTGTGGTTCAGGCAGTTGAATGCTACCTGGAAGAACTCTGTTCTATCCTTGCCTCAGACACAGAGTTTGTGTGATGCAAGGCACATTACTGAAACCAAAACTCTCACAGGTGGCCACTAACTGTGTGTTCCTCATTTTCTGAGCACTAGACTTGAGACACTTGGGGCCTGACTTCTAGACCTGCTGAGCACCCACAACTGCAGCTATGGCTGCTTAGCTTTAAGAGGACAATGCTGTCTGGAGGAATAAGCACAGGACTGGGTGTTTACGTGGGACTAGTTCTAATCCTGACTCTGCTGCTGATTCGTTTGCGGCCTTGAGCAAGTCACTTTGCCCCAGATTTTTAAAGGTATTTAAGTATGGTTCTGTTCAGCATTGCAAGGCCTAAGTGTCATTTTCAAAAGTGGCCTAGGCAGTTAGACTCCGACTCACATTTTAAAATGAGACACACTCCTAAATCAGTTGAGCATTGCAACACAGAGCAATGCCTAAATATCTTTAAATATCTGGGCCCTTTGCCTTTGTTCATTTGTAAAATGGGGAGTTGTGAAGATAAAATCATTAATATTTTTAGGCTGAGATAGTACAGTGAGTGCATAGAAGACAACCTGAAATTAATAATTCTGAGTTTGGATGGTGTGTAATAAATAAGGCCTGTGAACATTGTTCATCATGCGTGGTGAATGATGCAGAGGTTCTATGGAAAAAATGCTGTGTGATCATGTAATTAAAGACTATCTGTTCATAGCATACAAACAGCAAAGTTGGATAAAAGTATAAAATACTCACTCTGGAAGGTGGCAGTGTAACACACTACTTTATTTTGTAGACTCCAGAACCCTAACACACAAGAATCAAAATCAGAGCAAGACAAAGCAGGTTGCTCCTCAAGGCAGAGAAGCACAACTTAATCCACTTTGCTCTAGGCTGACTCTTCACAGACTGACTGCTGAAAATCCAGGTCACACGCTTCCGTACAGAACCCCCAAGCCTGCAAGCAAAACCAGAAAACCCTTATACTTCAAGTGACAGCTTGAAATTTTAACACAGTATTCAATGCCCTACTGTATCATTATGCACAGACAACCTTAATTCTGCCACTTCCTAACTTTCCTGTACTTGACCTTGCAACCTTAACATTCTTTTATTGTAACACGTGTATGGTATTTACAGTATCTCTACAAAACACACTGTAGTTCATGCATACCTTTATGTACTTCATGGTACATGTTAATATGTGGTATAAATGTAGGTGGCAGTCATGCTACCTCATTCAGTCAGCTCCCTTCTCTTGTAGGCTTTGGGCCACAGGGCTTACATTTACATAATACTTTTCTTGGCTATGTAACTAATTGTTGTCTTTTTTTAAAGAGAGTGGAAGAATGCAGGAGAAAAGTATGCCAGCCAGTAATACAGGGTTAATGAGAGCCACTCACTTGCTGCAGTTACCGCAAGAAATGCTGACTGAGATAATCATGTACCTTCCTCCTGCGGAAAAATCCAAAGTCCGTGCCACGTGCAGTCTTTTCAAGGATCTGGTTGATCAGCCTGTTGTGTGGCAAAAGAGTACCATTGTCCTCCGACGCATAAGCGCTTTCAATGCTGAGTTCTGGGACGTGCTTCGGAAAAGAAAGATCACTTCTGTAGAAGTGAAAGAAATTGGGCTTAAGCAATGGCAAAAGCTGCTGAGATTCATGCCTGGTCTGCTAGATGTAACTGTGGATTCCCTCTGGAGCGAGGAAATCCTGCAAGGGTTACAGCTGCTCACAGATCTAAAGAAACTTCACTTGAAAACGTGCTCTAGGTTATCTGAGAGAAGTGTAATCAGGGAAGTTGTGCACTTTCAACACCTTACCCACTTGTTGTTGTGCGGCATAACCTTCTTAAGTGGCAGTGAATTGATCAGAATTGCTTGCTTACAAAACCTACGTACGCTGTCCTTGCATACTGTGCAAAAGGCGCTTCCTGAGAAAGCACTAGAGTATGTTTTATTCCATTTACCAAAACTCAGAGAACTGTCACTTTCTTATATCCTGAGTAAGGAGCATTTTTTGTTATGCCTCAGTTTGCCAGATAGACATCCCATCCCTTATTCATCAGAAGGTGAGTG